GATTCACAGGATCCTAGGTGAGCCTTATGTTCCTGGACTTTGGGTCTAGAAAAGACTGCTGACAATACCTGCCTATTTATCACTCCCATCTCCATGCATATCCGTTGTGGACTTCCCAAATCATAAAAGAGATATCTGTTTTTTTGTTTATCTGTTTTGCATGTTCAGTGTTACCTGTTTTTACCAAAATATTTTTTTACCCTTCTATACTATCTTGCCAGACAGACAGTTCTACTGTGATACTGTCATTGCTAAATCATTCTGTTTGAAATGCCACAATTATATCATTGATACAGTGCCCCTGAAGCTTGTGGAGCAACAGTTCATAGCACCAACTGGTTAATCCCAGCCCACCCCACCCCCTGCACAAAGTCTTCTATGCCACCATCATTTTTATTAAATCATAATCTCTTCCCAAAGTTCCTCTTTATATTCTCCTGATGATGAAATTCAAGGGCTGAAAGAGAAAAAAAAAATAGCCAAAGGATAAAGAGGAGAATTGACCATTAACAAGAAAAAAACAAACTCTATTCTGGCTTAAATGGAAAAAAGAAACAATCAAGGTGGTCTAACCATCTTACACAACAAAAGCCAAGTTCCTATCATCATGGTTAAATTCCAGCCCAACAATACCTCAAATTGCCAATACGTTGAAAACTTCTCTAATACGCTCAAAATGATCAATGGAACTTCAATTTATAATATAAAGATCTTCACTTTTCTCTCCAAGATGTTTTGAAAAGTATTTAAACTGGCTTCCAACAAGTGAGCTTTCAAAGATGGAAATAAAGTACTTACTAAGTAATATCAAGTACTGCCAAATCTCAGTCCCTGGATATGCACTAATTATAATCTCTTTTAGAATTTTATTATTGGCGCACACTTACATTTCAGGGACAAAAGTGCAGTTAGTTTGCTTGCAACGAGCTTTGCCTCAAAGATTAACGACTCAGAAGAGGTAACCAATGGACCTCAGCCATAAAATAACCATTCTATTATCTGAAAAAACAGATACCAGGCAGTACATTTGTTTAGTCAGTGAAGTTGGGGACAAAAAGATGTGTGTGTGTGTGTGTGTGTGTGTGTGTGTAAGCTTAGAGAGGAAAATATCAGGTCTTTCTGTTTGTAAATTTACTAACTACAAAGAATTCTACTCAAAGAATTGAGAGTGCTCTCCTGACAGTTTTAAGATATCGATCAATGATGGCGTTATAGCTCCATTAATGCCTCTGTTGGTTTTCTGTGTATTTTCATTTTCCTTGCCTATTACCAGTTTTAGAGTGTCATTTTTCCTCTCTCAATCCTCTAACAAACTGAAATAGTGAGTCTTAGAAACTGCTGATCTGAATGTGAACTAAAAGGTATTTGCTTACAGATCACTTCTTTTCTCCAAGACCTCATAGGGTGTGGGCCAGAGAAAGAGGCTGTAGAGGGGATGACTGGGACCAGAGAGAAAGGCATGGAGGGTGCAAAGCAGGAAATCAGAAAAAAAGAGATTCCACTGTGGGGCGAGGGGTTGGGGAGTAGAGAGGACTCGGTGCTAAGCTGCCCCAGGGGTGGGCGTTTCTGTTACCTTTGGGCCACCTGCTACACTCTACAGCCGCAGACTTAGGCCCCTGGATAAAGGTTGGGAGAGCTGTATACCCTAGATGGGGAGAAACACAAAGGGAAAACTTTCCCCACAACTGAGGCAGAAACGAACATAACCATTGGCATTTCCTTAGGAGCTGGGTGGCAGCACAAACAGTACCATTGTTACATGAATTTCTCAGTAGTCAGAAGAGGATCTCTTTAGGTAGTTTACCAAAAGAATGCATGAAGGGACCGGACTCTTGAGCATTGAGCTGTGCATATCACAATCGCCCATTCTTACTTCCCTTAAGCAGGTCACATTCCTTACTGCTAGCAAGAGGCTCTACTGTGAAATCTGGAGGCACCAGACATTGGAGGGGTCCTACTGAAGACTGGCCAGCATTCTGCAGTGTGCTAACTAGCCTTTTGGGGAAAAGGCAAATACACGGCCAAGGAATGGATACAGGGATGCAATTCAGGCAGACTAGTGCCCTGAAGGAATGTGATGAAGTCCACTATGGCCTACCTGTGGCTCGTACAGCTGCCAGAAGCAGTGAGGGGCAGAGCACCGGATGGTGGGATGGTTATTCTGGTTCCGTCCCTTGCAGTGTGGCTTTGAGAAAATTGCCTATGACCCTTGAACCCCAGTCCCCTCCTCCACAAAACAAGGTTAATAATGACTACTAGCATTTACTGAACTATACACTAACCACTGTTCTAAGCACTTTTTCATACTTCCTTTTATTCTTACAGTAGCCCTATGAAGTAGTTACTATTGTTAGTCTCATCTTAGAGAAAAGGAAATGCTCTTTAAAATTATGTCTTAGAAGGATAAATAGTGACTAGGCAAGGATATGAGAATATGAACTCCACAGAGCCTCAGCCATAAACACATCCTGCTCCTGGTAAGTCTGATTAGGAATAAATACGAGGGAAATGCTTCATTAACTCTGTATAGAACTTTTCCTAAATTAATGAAACAAAAATGTTTTGCTTGGAATGAATTGTAGGGTAATAGCTCAATTCACAGGCTCTAGAATCATAGCAGATTCCTGGATAGCTGAGTGAAGTCCACCTCCTCCACTTACTAACGGGTGACACAGACATCAAATGGATTATCCAGTTTCCTCATTCGTAGAGTAGGGACGATAGTAACGGCAGCTACCACTACTACCGCTAGATTTGTTAGGGGTAAGCGAATAGAGGTGAAGTGTTCAAAGCATGGTTGGTGATTGTTACTACAATTGATCAGTGCTGGGCTGACTTGTGGGAGATACACAAATGCAGCGCGCAGCCCCTCACGCAGGAGACCAAGCCAAGGTAGTATGTCCAAGATGACATAGCACGAAGAGCTTGGTATATGGTGCAGGTTGTAGGCTGGGGCACTGATGACGCTGGCAGGAAGCCATCACTGGAAAGAATCCCGGGTGAGTGTGGATAGGGAAATGGAGGCCATTAAACAGGTGGTGACAGAGGATTGCTGGGAGGAGCCGGCAGAGGGTGTCCTTACAGAGGGGACAGGTCACCGGAGCAGGTTAACTTTGTAGGCTGTTAGACAAGAGTAAGTTGCACACATATTCTTTCAGGAAAGGATGGATCTTTGAAGTTCTCAGAAAGTTTAGTTCTTAAGAATTTGCTTCATAAAGTATACACACACACACACAAAGTTATGCACTGTGTCTATTTTTAAAAGTCATTTCTCCCGTCATTCTCTCCCCCAGTAATTCTGACTGGTGGAGGTGGTCACCCTGATGTATTCTATTAGGAAAACAACTATAATAGCCCTTTTTGTAGAGCTTTATGGAAATCCCAGAATAACTTCAGCTTAATGACTATTTTTTCATTTTACGCACTAAAGGAGATTTCTCCTTTACCCCGTGTAGAGTCCAGCTGTGGCTTTGTTAATAGAAACAGGTGCTTCCACAAATCCTTCCATGTTTGCAGTGACAGTTGCGCATTAACCAATTCTGTCAGATGTTTCAGCACTTCCTAGATTGGGGGACTGGCAGCAAAGTGAAATTTTACAACCAGCTGATTCACAGACAATAACCATCTGGATGGCTCGCTTCCCTTCCTCAATCGGGAACTGGCTTCTCTCTCCTTCTGATTCAATTAATTGCCGAGAGAATCGAAAACCAAATCACTGTTAAGATGTGATACATTACATTGGTTATTCTTGCAGATCCACTTGTCTCACTGCTCATGACTTATGCACCAATTAAAAGTCTCCAGGGAGAATCTTTCTTATTTAGCTCAAGTCAATGTGAAGGGGATGCAACATGCTTGGTGTCCTGTTCAAACACTAGTCACTCAGAGGCTCATACAGGAAAGGCTAAGATTTCTTTCCTGGAAAAGTAACAATTCCTAAAGTGTGCAAAAGATAAATACATATTGTCTAAAAACCAAAAGAAAGGCTTTCTCAGCAGTTGGTTTGGAATAGCTATACTGTAGTTCTGTCAGGGGAAAAAATTCCAGGTGAACAAGTTCCATGGATCACTTTCATCCCAGGGTGTGTGCATGTTGTGTGCTTACAGCTCTCACTCCAAGGTAATGGTCCCCAAAATGTAGTGTGCATCAGCACTTGTTAAAACACTGGTTGCTGTTTTCCGTCTCCAGCGTTTCTGATTCTGTAGTTTGGAGTCCAAGAATCTGCACATCTACATTCCCAAGTGATGCTGAGGCTCCTGGGAACTACATTTTGAGAACCACTGGTCTGGGCCAGTCTCTTAAAACAAGCCAAGCCTCATCTCAGGCAGCTTACAAGTGTTAAAAAGAAAATTTAAGGAATTGAAATAAGTTATTGCTCCTTTTTATACTGCTAATTCTTTGGCTTCAGAAGCCAGTGTGCACCTCTCTCCAATAATCACTGGGTAATTAATCCTCTTTCTACAATATTGAGAAGTCAATAAGCAAACAATTGTGTGTCTGATCCAGGACAGGGAGCTCTGCAGTGTAAGAAGTATACATGTGACAATCCTGCCCCAAAGAAACTGACCAGCTGTTCAGGACAGTTTAGGCAAGAATTCTAGTTCCAGGGGCCTAAGTATTTGCCTTTCATCCCTCTTGCCAAGTAAGATTCTGTCTAGGTGTCGTCAAGCATGCATAGCGGAGTACACAGATGAGTACACAGATGCAAGCTCTGGGCCACTCTCTCCTCTATACGGACTCCCTCTCCCCACCCCCCACCTCCCAACTAATGGGCCAGCTGAAGCGATTAGTTCATTTGGATGCAGAGTTTAAAATTATATAACTCGAGTGCCTGTAGGTACACCCTGGCCCACACTGTCCACTTCTCAAAATGCCTGTCACTTGTTACTGAGTAACATCCGCTGTTTTACGTGTGTCCTGCTAGGCTGCACGGGACATCTAGGTTTGCAGCCCCTCATTAGCCACCACACTGGCCTTTCTGATCCTCAAATATGCTCTTCCCCCAGCCCCTCACCTAACTCCTATTCTGTCTCTTCTTGAATGTTTCTTCCTCAGGGGAGTCTTTCCTGGCCTCTACCCAGTACTTTTCCTTTGAAATACTTCCCAAAATATAATGCAATGTTTGTCATGCATCTGTTGATTCTGCTAGATTTCAGCTCCCTGAGGGCAGGTGCTATCTGTCCTGTCCACTAGGGCATTCTCAGCACCCAGCCAGTGCCTGCCACAGGAGAGACACTCCAGGCAGCAAGGCCCTGGACTCACTCAGTTGCCTGGATGATGAGCTTCTTGCAGGAGCGATGGCTTCCTGGGCCCAGTCTAAGGAGCTGCAACATCCAAAGGCCCTGAGTTGTTCTTATTTGCTCTAGAAAACTCTCTCCAGCACAGCACCCTGGTCCTGTCTCACCTCTCACAGTGGCAATGACAAGGGGCAGCGTTTCTGTTTTATTTGCTGTCCCAGGCTTGTGAGTTCTCTGCCTCCCAAAGGAAGCTTGTGTCGTTATCTTCTGATGACCCTACATTTACATCTACAGCCCTGACCTCTTCTCGGAACCCCAGACTATGTGTGCCTCGTCTACTCTCCCACTGTGTATCTTAAAGCATCTCCAACTCCCCTGTCCAAAAATGTTTTCTTGATCTTCCTCACAAACCTTCTCTTCCCAAAGATTTCTACTTCCTCAGGTGAAAGTTGTAAATCATCCTAATTCCTCTTTTCTCAAACATCAAGCAAGAAGTCATCTTATCTCTACCTTCAAAATCTGTCCAGAATCCAACCTCCTCTCACCATGTCCACCAATCTACTACAATCCTACCCACCATCATCATTGTTCTCATGGTTGATTGTATTAGCTTCCTACCGTGTCTCCTTGCACTGGTCGTTGTCCCGATGGCCTTATCTCAAATTCCGAGTGATTTTGGTAAATCCTAAGTCACAAATCGGGTTGTCACTCTGCTCACAGCCCTCCAAATGCTTCCCATCTGAAACTGAAATCTGAAGTCTTTTTAATGGTTCATAGGCCCTCACTCTGGGTGTCCCTTCCTGCCATATCCTTTCTGTTCTCTCCCCCACCTACTGTGCCACCTACACTGGCCTCCCTGCTGTCTCTGAGCAGCCTCTACCCTAAGGCCTTTGCACTTTCCATTCCCCCAGCCTGCAACACTCTTCCCCAGACACCTGCACACTGGGCCTCCTCACTTTCTCCCAAGTGAGGCCTCTGCTGCCTCCCTTGTTAAAGTGGTACTACCACTGTGACCACCGCCAGTACCTAGGGATTTTTCTCCATAGCACCTACCCCTGAGAGGGATATCCATGGTAAGGACAGCATTTTGGTTGGGCTCTTAAAAGCAGAATTGTGATTAGGAAGTAGGGATAAAAGAAGGTAAGGTAAGGTAGATGGCAGGTAGCCAGCATAAATGGTCGCCCAGTGGTTACCTGATGGTGTAAGGTAGGCTCTAGGATTGAGCTCTGTCAAGATGGAAGAAACACTGACAACAAGGTCCCTTCCCTTTAAGGCAAAGATTAGCATGCTTGCTATTTGTTGAATAAAAATGCCCACAATGTGGAAATGTCTTTTCTTTGAAACAAAAATCCTTTTGGATATTGTTAGACAGAATGAAGAGACTAGGGATTGGGAAGAAACAGAGTAAAATAAAAATTGTGGATCAAGAAAATCCCTTTCCTGGATGGAAAGGCTCCGCTCAGTGTGAAAAACTATTTAAAGAACAAATTCGGAAATTCTCAGCAGGGCCAAGAGTCTTCTTGGTCTTGAGGTTAAAAAATGACCTCTAAATTAACTTATAAAAATAGTTATTTATCAAAAACAAACCAAAAAAATGTTCTTTGTTAATCATATCAATAAAGTACCAAAATCCCAGAGGGATCCTTCTAAGTGGAAGAGAATACTTTGTTGTGGTTTTGTTTTCAAATTGAAAAAAATTATCCAGGCATACTTAGCAATATCCACACAGGGATGTGTCAATCAAGAAATGTATATCAGAGCTAATGAACTATTTTCCACCATTCATTTTAAACCAGTTAAGAATTCTCTTATGTAAATCTGACAGTTTTGTCCTTGTGAGAGTTGTGCAGTTTAAATTTTTGATGGCCTTTAAAAATTTCTGGTTGACAGGAATTGAGCAAATATTTTCCATGGTAAGAAAAAAAATCTGTAGAAAGCTGCACCAGTCTTAACATTTACAAAAATTACACCAGAGTATTAATAATCCTCTTGTCATTAATCATCGTCAAAAGCTAAATATCATTTTGTTAACCACTTAGTCTGTATCACAAATTACTGTATCACAAATATATATATGTGTGTGTACATATATATATATATATATTCACCACCATCCTCCCTGTACCACTTCTATTTGTTTTGAGCACAACCTGTATTCATCTTTAGGTCTGATTTTTTTATTACAAAAGATAACGATGCTTTCAAAGTGAATTGAATTATAAGCTTTTTACTATTTTTCAGTGAGTAAAAAAAAGGCTATTTAAGTTTCATCACTCAGCTAAATAGAAATTTTCAAAGGGAATTCTGTCTAAAGATATGATATAATGCCATATGGTCCTGGTTTCTAGAGAAATTCAATTTTGTAAGTTGTGTAAATGAATTTATTAGTTAAAGTAAACTTACAAATCTCTGTAGGTTTTTATAAATAGAAGCAAACTAGTTCATTTGAATTACTATATATCACCCTAGCATTTTTTTAATGCAAGAAAATGTATTTGTAAATATAATCATTCTTTCTCAGGGGATACTAATTTACCATGCTCTCATATCAACTTAAAATCTTGAATTCTACAAGAGATTTTCATATAAAATATCAAAGTTAAGAAAAATTTAGGCTCAAAAAGAAGTTTTTGGTAACTACAGAAGTTTTTGGAACATGTATAATTTCATTTACATTCTCAGCTTTTCAATTCTATTTATCTTAAAATTTGCTTCACAAAATGTTATATGGTTATAATTCAACATTACTGCATAATGTATTTGAGAAATGTCTAGTAACTCTTTTGTTATTAGGTAATTTAATGATTCAAATCTCCTGTTACTGTTTCGACTGCTAGCACTTATTAAGCTACCTTTTAATGCAAAACAAAAACAAAAATCTTTTTCAAAAAGTATTGAAAAGATTTGCCATTTTCATTTTGAAGATGGAGAAAAAGTAGGGTAGGTTAAAAGATCTGTCAGCCTGCATGGTTGAGTCTCTAAAAGACAATGCTTTTGTATCAATTCCTACGACACTGAAAAACACCGGGCTCTACCAGGCAGGTAATAGCTCTTTATATTTCCAGAGCCAACTAAAGTAGAAATTAAAGGAAACCAATTATAAAATCCGTGTAAAAAGGAAAAAATAAGTAGTTCCTCATCAACTGAGAATTAAATAAGACTGATTAGCTCTTTGTGTGCCCAGTTGAATATGCCATTAAAGGACCAAGCTTATCTCATGTTTGTTTTCTTTAAGTGGCTGCATGTAGACAATGGCTACAGGGAGAACTGACTTTACAGGTACACAATCTAGTACCACAAGCAGAACATCATGGCACCAGATTCATATCTTTTTAAAACAGGAAAGTTGTAATTTGGCAGTAAACAAACTGTGAAGGGAGAGGCTGAAAAACTCATCCAGACACTCACAAAAACAGCCACACACAGACATATTTCAAAAGTGCTTCCCATTAGACTGTGCTAGTTATGGACATCCACAGGGACTGGCGGACAGTGGCAGTCATTTTCCTTTACCGCCATGTCTGAGCACATGCAACCCTGTGCCCTCCACTTCAGCACCTCGACTCCCGGAAGATGCACAGAACACGAGTTTCTCATGAGACTTCTCAGGATTCCGTAGCTGTTGATGTTATAGGTCATACACAGTAATCACTGGACCAATACCACACTGGCTTAGATGTCTTCCATGCTCCAGTCGGAAAGAAGACACACAAAATTCCTTACTAGACCACTGGAAGGAGTACATGGGAAATGGATTTTCATGTCACATATATTGGGAGGAGATCTCTGGCTTCAGGGCAAAGTTTAGAGGAGCAATACACATAGTTACTGAAGACTAATTAACTGGGTTCCAAAGCACATTATTGGCTGGATTCAGACTATTTTACAGGTGTGTTACAAAGCAGATATTTAAGAAAGGTGAATATATGACCCTATATTTTTAGAAAGAAAGAAAAAACAAAATCACCATTGTGTATGCTACTCAGGTACTAAAAAGGTATACTCAATGAAATTACTTTTTACCATTGGTTTAAGGATATAAAATAATTAAAATCAGAACATGCCAAAAAAATTACATTACAGTTTCATGACCACTGCCTCACATGCAAAAATATCAAAATACAATCTCACATAGGCTGATCATATTACAGTATATTTATTAAATTTTATCATTTATGATCACTTTGTTATAATTAAATTAACCTGACATAAACCTTCACATTTAAAAACACAGAGAACATACTGATTTTTCAACTATTTTACCTACATATACTTTTTAAGTCTCATGCAGTGCTCATAATTAGGAGATACTATACATTAACCCTCTCATAATATGCTTATTAGGAACCAAGTTCAGAGGGTAGAAAAATGCCAACATAAACTCATTCTCCAAAAACTGCCCATAGATATATTACACCAGTTCCTTCTAATTATGTACTTATGGTACATTCTTCTGTAAAATGTATAATTGTAGTCATATAACCATAGTTATGACAAGGCAATATTTCAAGAAGGGATTACAACAAATGAGACCAACAGTTGAAGAGACCAGAGCATATAAAAGTCATTTGAGAACACCATACACACTTTGCTGTTTTCCACTTTCCAGTTGAAAAGAACATGCACAAAGTCTTCTTAGTAGATAGTTGTCAGGAGTGCACAGAAAATTGGCTTTCACCTCATATATGTTGAGAGAAGATCAATGCCACTGAGGAAAAAGAGTTATGTTCTTTATCTTTTAGGTCTGTCTATATCATCTATAGCTGCTAGAAGTTTTTGTCTTGCTTTCTTATTAATATGGGATCCCAGGCAAACATTCACCAGATTCGTCAGCTGCTTCGTTGAATATTCCTGTTCAAAGAAGGAAGATCCAAATTTAGTACACTAAAAGACATGTATCTGATCAATGCAGCAAAAGAACAGGCAGATATCCAGGAATCAGTGAATAGTTACTGAGTACTACAAACCAGTGAAAAACAGTGGAAATTATAGTTTGGGACACGGAGGACAAATTGCTTACTGAGCTGTAACAGGAGGGAAGGAGGATACAGCAGTACACATTTGAAATAGGAAGCAACTGTATCTGTTTTAATATGGCAAAGTAATCTGGCATGCCTATGCTTTTTATTACTTCGAAGATCACACATTTTATCCTTGTTTCTCTGATAGTCTTTGTTATTAAGTTACCAAAATACACTGACATTTCAAATTTTTACAATGCTACTGATCAAGTATTTTTCTGGCACTGTACATTTTATAAAACTTTAGTTAGAAAAAAATCAACAAGAGAACAACTCTTCTAAGATACAACAAATGAATAAGGTAACAAAGATCAGAAAGTCGGTGTCTTTTAAACTCTTATATTGTAATTGATAACTATTAATAGCAAGTAAAATTAAGACCACAAGTATCTTTCACCATCCATATCCACCTGGTTCTCAAATTTCAGATAATGGGTTGCCAGGATGAGAATCAAGAGAGATTCACAGAAATTGCTGCATATTGATTTGGTTCTGGAGGTTGAATAGCAAGAGTTCAGACAGCGAGAGATAATTCTATACTATCATCTAAGAAGAAAAGAAAATCCATCTTTATTGAAGGTAACCATTAAAGATAGGGAAAATTCAAAATATGGGATTAAGTTTATTTTAAAAACTCAGCAAACTGCTCAGTTTGTGTATCTGACCCCTAAAAGCACCTGTCACCACCTGGTAAGTAATCTCATTTAAGCAGTGAGCACTCGGTGAGCACTGGACTCATTGTTGGAGTTTCCTTGGAGACAGGACAGAGTCCCTGCTGCTACTCAGGAGATGTCATTGAATTACAGACACCAATCAGTTAAGCGCTTCTAAAAAATTCAGTCCAGCATATTAAAAAAGAAAATCCTAAAGTGGGCATCATTCTTGCATTAAATAATGGATATTTAAGTGCTGTGCTTTTTTTACTCACCTACTGTGTACTCTTTCCCCAAATCCCTTCTTCAGTATGAACCCTGAAGTGTTTACAGCTTACTTTACTAAATAGTTTCTAGCAACATCCAACAGTCTACTTGTATCTGAGTTTAACATTTTGGTTCTCAAATGTCATTTGGGCTAAAAGTGGTGAAGTTTCTCTCAATTCAGGCTTACTGGCAAAAATCATTGAAAGTAACATGCACATTTCTACTTTGCTTCCAAAGATGTGAAACTGACCTACAGTGGGCACATTTACATAAAACTCAGGACAATGTTAAAGTTCCATGCTAATGTTCACTTAATCTTTTTACAGTACTGAAATCAGAAAGAATGGACACAAGAAGGTAAATACAAATAATTTCTTATTCTTTACCCATATAAAATAAAATTTTACTTAGCTTGTCCCCATGTTTATAGCCTAAGTGAAGGCAAACCCTACACAAAGAGATGCAAAGGTCACTGGAAATCAAGAAAGGGAAGGGGATGGAGGATGTGTAAAAATTTATCCATTGGGGGTACAGTGAACACTATTCAAGTGATGAGCACACTATAAGCGTGACTTAAGCATTATGAATGAAAGGTATCCATGTAACAAAAATATTTGTATCACCTTTAATATTTTGAAATAAAAAGAAGGAAAAGAAAAAGATTTTTAAAAAATAATGAATGCTAACAAAGATATAAGGAAACAGGCCCTCTCATATACTGTTGGGGAAATATATGAAGGTCAGTTCGGCAATATGTATCAAAAATCATTAAAATCTACATACTTTTGACCTAGGTATTGTACTCTTAGAAATGCATTCTAAGATGTATGTGAATGTCTAAGGAAGTTCATCTCAGTGCTATGCACGATGGTAAAATCTGAAACAACCTGGAGCCCTTAAAACGATACTGCTTTCTAACCCAAACATCTTTCTTTCCTTAACTGGCTATATATATAACATAAACCAAGAATTCATTTTTCTCTCTCCTTTAACCATTTGTCATAGCTATTAAATCAAAGTCCAATTATATGTTCTCAGTTTTATGAAGCAAATGAATTAATTTTTTCATATTTGTATACAAAAATTTTAATGGTATAATTAACTGGTAAAATGGTATATTTAACTGGTAAAATAATTAACTGGTAAAATTGTTTTTTATGTCTATCAAGCATTATTGCTTATCATATATGCATGATTCCTTCACTGAAAAGATAATCTCCACTCTTGCCCAAAGTGGTACCATATAAGTCATCATTTTTAATAAAACAAAACCCAAAAAAGTGAACCCTAGAGTCATTAAAGGAATAAGGATATGATGAAGATTTTAACACTTTCCATATTTTTCTTAAATCCATCTTCACATACTGCCTATCCAGATAAATAATACAACAATCATATAGAAAAGCTCCCATACCAAGCATGCTCAGATGATATAAGTTGAGTCGAACTGTGTCAAATATTCAGAATCCTAAACAGCAATAAACAGCATTTTTCTCTACTTATCTATATATATATCCACACAAAAGAAAAATAATCAAATCTATATTAAAGGTAAAATCTAATATAAGATGGTAAGTTAAATTTAGCTATTTAAATATTAATATCTTCAACTACTACTAATACATGTCAGCGTGTTTAGGATGCCACCATTTCATTGTTGAGGGATACAAGAAGGTTTAAGTTATATAACAGAGTATGGCTTATGTATCACTTCAACATTACTGTATGCAATCTCTCTTCAAGATAATCAACTTCCTCCTTTTCCCATAACACAATCATAGGAAATATATAGCCAATGTTCTGACTTTTGCTCTATTTCCAGATAATTACTGTAACAGTTCGCAAAAGGCCCCCCCCAAAGTTGGATTAGCCAAAGGGCACTAACTACACAGATATAGTCTGAATATGGCAAAGAATCGACCCAAGTAGTTTATGTCTAAAAGGCAAATATTTCTTTACTCTCATGATTTTGAATTAAGTAACATACGAGAACAGCAAAAATAAAAAAAAATAAAAACTTAATTAACTATTCTCCAGCTCTCACCCTGTGCTCTTTGATCCAGCGTTCCATGTCATTCTCCGTTAGGTAGTAGGCTTTAATATAGGTTTCCACAAATTCTTTATCAGGAATAGGTCTAATATCTGTTAGTTTTTCAAGTTTCATTAAAAACTGTTGAAAATCCAATTGCATCAAGGCACGACCCTCATTACTGCACTTCTTGACATTGGCATATCTAAGACACACAATAATAATAATAATAAAATACATGATGAGAAGGTTAGAAAGAGAAACCTTAAGTACTTGTACTTTTTTCTAACCCATATTTTGACAGATTCTCCAGAAATGAGAAGGTTACAGAAAAAAAAGTACATGAGCTTGACTCAGAAGGACTGGGTTCTGTTTGTGCCATCATTTTAACTATTTGGTAAAAAAAAAAAAAAAAAAATAGTAATTTTGCCTATCTGGGCCTCATTTCCTTGTTTGCAAAGACATGGAATAATTTAAAGATTCTTTGTTGCTCTACAGACCATAGATTCTCTGCATTCAATTAACATAATCACCTGTAGGAAAGTTACGCTGGTGCTCCTGTTAAGCTGGCTACCCAGAGTTATTTATAAAACTAAGCTTTGACTACTCCAAAGTAATCTTAAAATGTTAGAACTGTGTACTATTGTTCAATATGGTAACTATTTAATGCAAAAGAAACAAATTAACTAATTCTACCAATAATGCTTGGCAAACCTGAGAAATGTGTAAGTATGTAAGCGAAGAAAGTATATATATATTTTCCATGATAAAACAGTCTACAGACTTATTCTAGCATCCCATGTTACTGAAATACTATGTTTTACGGTTGTCTAGCAGTAAGAATGAATATACTAACCCTAACAGTACATTTTCTTACTCATAAGTCCATGTCTCATTTCCTTCCATCAATCATACAGAACAGGGAAAATTCAATCTTAGGGAATGAGATACTTCCCCTAAGGAAATTTGTAAGAAAATTAAAGCTTATATCATTTAAAGTGACCAAGCTTTTTTTTTTTTTAATAAAAAGCGTTTTATACAGAAATATATACTATTTACTATTCTACTTTATTAAATGAATTTATTAAAAAACACTTTTCATTTATGATTATTGACACAGAGTCAGTTTATAATTTATAGCACTGTTAGTTTCAATACAGAGTGGCAAGACTGTTGTCAGCTTGTCACTGTTACCCTCCCACTTTCTAATACATTTTCTTTTATAATGAATGAGAACTAAGGAAGAATCAGATAAACGATAGTATGAAAATTCAATTAACGTACAATTCTGGATTACTGTGCATGGTCTTTGAAATAGCTATTTGCTTTTCAGGGATATTTTAAATGTATTGCTGATTCCTATTTATATTCTAGATGTCATGGGCAGAGTAAGCACGGTCTCTGAGTAAATGGGAAAATTGCTATTGATAGATCTGTAAACTCAAAACATAAAATTTATATAGTTTATAATGATACGATGATGATGATGAACTGTGATATAGAAATTATGAGAACTGACTTTACATCAGAACACCAGTTTATAAGCCTTCTCTGCCTTTAAAAACTGTGAACTCATGCAAATTAATTTAACCTGTGTCAGTCTAAGTTTTCTGAGCCTAGGTTTTCTCATTGATAAAAGAATAATAGTACCTATCAAAGAGAATTTGTTTTAGGATATGGTGATATAATCCTATGAAATGTCTAGTTCAGTAAGTAAAAAGGTAAGTATAATCATCATCATGACAATTATGTTATTAAATATTAGGTAAAAATAATAATTATTAGTTTAACTTTCAGATAATCATTAGATTCTGCATTCCTCACTCATTCACTGTCATCAGCAAGAAAAGAAAGCACAGAGACTGGCACAGTGGGTTTAAGACTTTGTCTTTAGTTATATTCCAAACTTGTCTACTATTTATCATTATCTCTACCTATTCTCTCCATCCATTAGTGATATCTTACAATGCTATTTGTAAAATACAATTTGACATTTAAGAAACAAGTAAGGCTTTCACAAAAAACGTACCCTTCCACAATAGTTCTATTAGCCAGTCGTATACAATGTTCCCAAAGTATATTAGATACAGGCAAGGGTATCCGAACTCTCTTAGAAACTTCATTTAGCCTCCTGTTAAACTGCTCAAATTCCTAAAACGAACAAAAAAAAAATCATGGCTGTATGTGAATATCATTATAAATGTCACATGTTTTCCCACAAAAGTGGGGGAAAAAAAAACACCAAGGATTCAGAAAGAGTCAGAATCAAATCAAGTGAAACAAAAAGAGATAATACCAAAGATAACTTGGATTAATATGAAGGTTTTAAAATATAGCATTTTGAATAGATTATAATACAGAGTACACTACATTTCATCTCAAAAGAAATAGGTTGTCATTAACTGATTAAACAATGTTAACAATGTCCAAATGTTTCTATATCTCTGAATTTTCTATGGCTGTCAGTATGGATTAAAAGAGCAGAATTTGTCTTCAAGAAATCCAGTTTTAAAAAAATGTTTTAATAAGCTTTCAATTCAGAATTAATTATTTGTAATCTGTAGCTATACTCCTTAGAGAGCAATTTGAGGAGTTATTCTCTTTACTAAATATTCTTTAAATTATTATACAGGTTGAGTATCCCATATCCAAAATGCTTGGGACCAGAAGTGTTGTAGATTCTGGATTTATTCAGATTTTGGTATGTGTGCATTATACTTATTGGTTGAGCACCCCAAATCTAAAAAATCCAAAATCTGAAATCTGAAATGCTCCAATCAACAAGTCCTTTGAATGTCATGCAGGCACTCAAAAAGTTCTAAGATTTTGGGCATTTTGTATTTTGTATTTTCAAATTTGGGATGCTCGACCTATATGCCAAATAATTTGAAAGTTTCATGGTATAGCAACAAATTTTTAGTACAATGGAAAAAATAAAACATAAAATATTTTCTATTACCTACAGAAAAACTTAACATTTTCATTATCTGTTAACTTTACGACACAATCGTACCAAAAATGTAAAATATATATAAACTAATTTAGACAACCCCAATGATCACAGGAAAGGAGCAAATCACCCTACAATAAATGTGTTTCTGATCTCCTTGGACCATCGCCATCTAAATATGTTCATTTATAAAAGTAAATGCTATTTGAGCCCTTCTTGACAATATATTTCAAATAAATTTAAGAAGGCTTAAAATGATTTTGTTCTTTAGTTTCCTGAATGAAGAAGCCACATAATGTTTAACAAGACTGAGAGGCATCCACGTTTTCTAATAACAAACAGGAGGAAAAAAATCTAATCTGATCACCAAACTACCACATAATGATAATTATGCTCTCCTTTGCTCTTTTTCCTAAATTACAATTTTTCTTGCTGATTTACTTTTAATAGTTCATTGATTTTAATTATCAGAAAGAAGTTTGGATTGTCAATTCACTAAGTTTCCCTTTGAAAATCAAAGTTAAATAAATAATTGCTCTTCATCTGTTCTTTTGTTTCATGGATCTAGCAAAGCAGTAATATTTACTACCATAACCGATTTGGATTTCAAGAGTCATAATTCAACATTTTTCATTAATTATTTTATTTAAAAGATAAAGATATAGACTTACTATACATAATGACATTCTACTTAATGCTAAATTCAATGTTAAGAAATGGTTGTTGTAAAATGAATAATACAGCCATCTCATTTTACTTCTAATTCTTTTGGGGTAACATAAGCAGGCTGCCTTCACCTAAATGCTTAGACTTAGAAAAGTAATAAAAAGAACAAAAGTTATCACAGATAATTAACCTTTATGCTTAAGGAAGTCCTTAAGCTGCTAAAAATTGGGTTCAGGTTAATAACCTGAATAACATTAGTTCTTTCTTATAATATTCATATTTCTTGGAATTAAGAATAACTGAAGCAAGAAGCCTTCTTCGAGTATGTATATTCACTGAGTTGCAGAAGTCTTTTTCTTGAATCCCAATGAGTACTATGGTTAGTATATGCTATGGTCTGAATGTCTGTGTCTCTCCCAAATGCTTATGTTAAAATCCTAACTACCAGGGTGATGGCGTTGGGAGGTGGAACTTTTTGGGGGTGATTAAGTCATGAGGGCAGAGCCCTCATGAATGGGTTTAGTGCTTCCCCTATAAAAAAGCCCCAGTGAGCTACCCTGCCTCTTTCACCATAGGAAGATGCAGTATGCAGGTGACATCAATGAGAAATCAGGCCCTCACCACATACCAAATCTGCCTTAGCCTTGCTCTTGAACCTAGCCTCTGTAACTGTCAGAAATACTATTTGTTGTTTACAAGCCACCAAAACTATGGTATTTTGTTATAACAACCTAAATGGACTAAGATAGCAGGCCATAAAAAATAGAATCAACTTTCCAAAAATAGAATTGTTACCTAAAAGGGGGGTGTCATTATTTATAAATTACCTTAATTTTCTATATTCCAAATAAAAATTCACAATTGAAATCTCCGGGGTACTACAGAAAGTGAAGTTCTTCCTTTCATTGTCTTTTAAGGTCAATGATCTCTGAATTCAAGGGTGGCAAATATAGAGCATCGCTCCTTCCCTCAAGACCCCCCTCCAACCCCTCCCACCCCAAGATCTCCATGGAAACTCCTAGCTACAGCTTACTGATCTTCGAACCCTTGAGTCTGGAGACAGCCTCAGTCTCCCCAGAAGGGCATAAGGTGCTGGGAGTTGGCAGACCAGAGGAACTCTGCTGCTATCTGTTTTAGTCTAGAGCTCCATTTATTGGTTCTCAGTGTCCCGAGCTATTGTATGTTGCATTAGGGCTAAGGAGTGATTGTATAAACGAGTTAAAAGTCAGGAGGTGCAAAGGGCCAAAATGAAAAACAAAATTTTTCTGAAAGTTGCTTTCATTTTTACATATGCTCTTTCCTCACCTTAGATATATCCACATGTCTCTCTCTTTTCCTTACTTCTTTCAGGCCTCATCTCCATTCTCACTTTATCAGAGTCCTTCTCTAACCACGACAAATAAATGGTATTCTGTTCCCACCCAGATCCTGTTATTCTCTTTTAATGGTTTATTTCTTTTTCACAGCATTATTCATCACTTGACATTATATCTCAATTTATCTGTTTACAGCTTTCTGTACACTGGTATGTAAATTCCCTGAGGGCATGTAAGTTCCTCAATTCACAATTCTATTGCCTGCACCTCTATCAGTGCCTCTCACATGTCAGATCTATAAATTGCTATTCATGGATAAATAAATAATAAAAAAAGGAACAACAGTTCTTTCCAGGAAACTTATAAATGTAGGTCACTGAATGCAAAGAGGTGTTTGCAGGACACTGCAAAAGCAGTATGATTTCTAGAAATAAGAATTCAGAATAATTAGGAGCATGGTCTCTTGCTAATGGATATATGTACTAAACAATAAAAACAACTTCTAATTAAAATAGAAACGAAAACAAAAAATCTACAAAGTAGTCTTAGATCTAATAGAAGACAAAAGTCAGAAAGTAAGCCCATTTCAATTCAAGGACTTTAGTATCACAATGTTAAAAATGTTGCAGTAACTATAATTGTACTATTTTAAAGCCTTTGCAAAAAAGAATATTTTTCTTTGCAGAATGATCTTTAGCAGAGATGTTTCAAGAGCACTTGCCTTCAACAATGCATCTACATATATGTTGTGCTGTGACATAATTTCTTTTACATCCCATTTCACATTAGCCATTAGGAGCAGCATCTGTTCATAATCAATGGCTTTACCAGCTACAATCCAGTAAATTGGTTTGCGTAGTTCACTGGCAGTTGAAACGGTCTGAAATAAATTTCACAGAAATGAAAACAATTACTTTCTAAAAGTTATCAGATTCATAAAGAATACTTTGCCCGTTTCTAATATACACCACATCTGAAAATAAAACACTATACATTTGGAGATTTCAATTATGAAAATACTTTGACTAAGGCAAAAGCCTTACACAAAGCATAATTTTTGAGACTTTCAATAACCATGAAGCCATTGACACTACAAATATGAGAGACACAACTATAAGAGAACTAGAGATTTTCGTGGAGACTAACAAATATTTCTCAATTTCTTGCCAACTCTTTTCATTTCCACTCCCACTACCCTACATCAGGATTCCATTCTCTCTCGCCTGCAATACTGCAGCAGCCTTCAGACTGCTCTCCCTGTCTCTAGCTTGCCGTCTACAGTCCAATCTCCACAGTGCCCCCAGAGAACTCCTAAAATACACATCTGACCATGCTGCTCACCTGTTTCAAACCCTCCTGTAGCTTCCCAGAGCCCTTGGAATAAAGTCCAACTCCTGGCTGAGGGTGTGGCTCCCGTTTATCCCTCCAGCGACCTTTCTCATCACCAGCCCTCCTCCCTGCCCAAACAAGTTGAGTTCCCCACTGCTCGCATGCACTGTGTTCTCTCTCATCTTCTGGTCTTCATATAGCCACTCCCATCATCTGGAATATATCTCCCCCACTCACCTTTTCTGCCTGGCTGGTCCAGATTAAACATTGCTTCCTCTAGACAGCCTTTCCGACAACCTTCTTCCAGCCACAGCCCCTCCCGCCCTCCAGTCTGGGTTAAACACCCTGTCGCTGTTCTTTCCCTTATCATAGCACTTATCATACTTTATTGTAAATACAGTTTTCATTGGCTCTCTCACTAGACTAAAAGTTATATAAAGTGCTTGGTAAGTATTATTTAATGCAGGAATTCATGAGTGAATAAATGAATAATCTATCCAGCTCTTCAAGGGATTGGAGACTGATCTCTAATTAAAAAAACAATCCTAAATAATCTGTGACAGTCCTATTTGGCTCACAGTTGAAATTATATACAAGACCATCTCTGACCTGAGAATAAAACTGCTGAAGAAAGGGCTTTTTAACTGCAGGCATCACAGCATCCAGATGTGGCTGAAGGAACTCAAACTGTTCAGCCAAGAATACCCTAAAGAGAATAAATAACCCACTGTGTAAACAAACTGTCTCAAATTTAGAGTCTGTCAAGTTTTTTATGAGAGATCTTTTAAGATCTGAGTACAACTTTAACAATTCAAATTATTTTCCACATTAGCAAACTATCTTGTACTACCACTTGACATGTCCACTTACAATTTAGACAATAAAAAGTGTTGAGCTTATTAATGAATGGAAGTTGAAGTGAAAGAAGAGTAACTTCAAAGGAGCTATCAGGTTACCAAAGGTATAGAGTCCCGCTGTTTTGCATGTAAGATATGAGCACACATAAAACAACAGATTGAAAAAAGTATACAACGGTATTTTTTTTAAAGGATTTCTTTCAAAAATCCCATTCAATTACTACTGTGTGTGCACCTTAGTAACCAAAATGTTTGTACTCCCATAATTTCCTGAAATAAAAAAAAAAAAATTTAAATCCCATTCAATTAATATATAAGACTCTTAAATTCATAGATTTAATATGTGACACTTTTCAGAAGTAACCCAAACATAACATGATGCAAACTGAATCTTGGCTGAAGCATACAAATGAACTACAGGTGCGGGAGGCTGGGGTACAGGAGTAGGAGTCCTTTGGCTGGTGACTGCACTGCCACTGGACACTTTTTCTCTTTTTGTCATCTATGCAAATGCTCTTAAATTATCTTGAACTTTGTTTTATGGAAGAAGTTTTATTCTTTACTTTTATTAACAAGTTTAAGGATTTATAAAAGTCAGGAAGCATTCTTGCTCATGTGAAGGGTCAACTATATTTAACTGACAATGCAACTATAGTTTCTCTAGGATCATAAGTCATCAATAGGAAAATATAAAGTATAACATATGCTTTTTAAAGTTTTACTTAAAGCAAGGATCATGTTACTAAAAAGCAAACTTTTAAAAAGGATTTCTTTCCTTCCTTCCTTGCATTTCTAGAACTGAAACCAACCATGTAGTTGTAAAAATCAATTGGTAATCTATGTTAGGATATACTTCTCAGAAATATATAAGCGTTATTTAGAAGTGGTAGGTGTATGCAGCTAGAAGTCTTATTATACAGTACTTACTTTTATAACTTTTCTTACATATTTAATGGCAAAGCAATTGTATTTAACAACTTACAAGGATTCCGTGGCTACCACTCTTTCTGCTAACCCATACAATGTATCACCAGATGTCAAAACCACTAGGTGACTGAGGTGTGGGCTCGGCACCTTCTCCTTTCTCTCTTCTGCTGCTGTGAGTGTGGCAGTAGGATCAGCTGAAACCTCCTGAAAATGCAGCACACACATACACAATCTGGAATAGCAAATCTAGTAGTAATAAACCATGTGATTTTGACAAAACTAGAACTACAAATAAAATACTCTTAGGCATATATCAATTATATTTAGTTTCAGTTCTTTTCCCCCATTTTTATGATTTGTAACTATTGGAACTTTCCTTTTGATACTCAGTGAACATAATTCTGTATAATATCCAACTCTATATGCTACCATCTGTGTATGACCTAAAGTCTGCCAACACAAGGAATCTTTATGAACTGACAGATGTTTCATAGAGACAATAGTGAGATGCCTCTCAAGACCTTGTAAATGAGGGAAATGAGATTGTCCCTTGAGAATCAAGCTTGTAAATCCAAAATTATGATATGATTAACCATTTCACATCCAAATCTTAATCAAGGTAACCTTGGCATAATCTCAAAAAAGCAGGACTAGAATGACAAAGAACCAATGGTATTGTATTATATATGTCTGGGGACAGATTACTGGTAAAGACTGTCTAATGTGAATGAAGGAAAGAGACTGCGCAGAGAGCAGGGCGTGCTGGGCCTGCAGCACCGTCCAGGAGAGAAGCAGTGATTCAGGTACACAGACATGCAGCCAACAGGAGTGATATGGTCAAATCTGTGGTCAGAAAAACTCATCAGACTTCAAATCTCTCAGTTTTACTTTTATTTCATGTCATGCTCACTAGCAATCTACCTTTCCAGGGATTCTGATGCCAGGCAAGGAGTGCCTTGGATATGAGTTATGCACATTCTTGTACTTCACAGTATTGCGTATTATAAACAAAGAGACTGGCAAAGGAAGAGTTGTGAGGATATGCTCACCCAACTTCCCCTCAATACACAGCAAGAAACTCTTATTTTTACTGAACTCTTAGCAAACAGTAAAAAACCAAACCAAAACAAACAAAAAACCCTCAAAAAACACTTGAACTCACTGGCACATTGGCAGTCTTTTTTATAGGGAGGGTGTCTTGAAGATCTCTTAGGTAAAGAGGTGCTAAACTGGCTACTTATAGTAGCTGACAGAGTACCAGAAGACTGCCAGTTCAAGAGTTACAAGCAATCCACATATTTCAATAAAGATACATTTAGGCAAACCAGCTTCCCTTTGTAAAGTAAACATGAAAGAATGCGGTTTAGAATACTGACATCATCATACCATTGATTTAAGTAGTTATTACAGTCAATGTCAGAGAAAAAGAGTTTTAATTACTGTTTGGGGAGGGAGGAGAGGAGAGAGGTCAAGGAAGTGACCATAATTACACTGCAGAAAGAACAACTCCATGATAGCATGATTCTCAATAAATGACTCCTAACAATACTGATCGTATTATAATCTCAAAGTCACTTCACCATGTGAAGCTATGAAGAACTTTTATAACCAAATATATTTCTAATAACAATTATCTTGGATTAGAAATAGACATTCTAATTTTCATTTAAGTAAAATTATTAGGGTTTTCCAGTACTGACATGGCATCAGACTCAACTCATTACATTTTGAAAAACAGTTCCAGAAGAAAAATTTACAAAAGGAAAAAAAAATAGAATAAATGCTATGCAAATTATGCAATAGCTCATAGTACAAAAATGCTGTTATAAGTTTACTTGACTATAGGTCAATGTTTAACCTGCTCAATCCTTTAACAAAAAGTTTCAAAATTCTGATTGAATCAGAGACTGACTGAGCTAGAAGAAATGCTAAACATTATCTAATACAACCCCTGGCGTTTACATACCACTTTCAGTATGGAAAACATTACTTGGTTATCTCCATTACAGAGTTTAAAGGTAAGAACAGATGAGTTTGCAGATAGCACAACTAGCTGTTTAAATGCAAATATAAGTAATATATTTAAAAGACTCTCAAAGAAAATTCTACCACAAAAATTAGAAGTAAAAGTGTACAAAATGTAAATCTACATAACTTTTTAAAGCAACTCGATAGTCACAAATCTCCAACATTTTCCATATGAATAAAGGAGTCATCAATTGCACAATACTCCGGGAGGATAATTTACTTTTATAAATTTAGCAAAATGAAAACAAAAATTGTAAAACCTTTCAAGTTAGAAAATGGATTTATTCTTCTTTAATTCTTTTTGATTTCCTATCTTTTCCTAAAGATAATGTCTCTCTTCAATTTCTAATTACTCAATTACAATTTAAAAGTTATTATGGGAATAAATGCTTCCTCTAGGGAGAATTAAGATCATGGAACCATGCAAGTTATTTCATCTCCACTATTTATTTCCCTCTACTGAAAAGGAAATAACTCTACTCAAAAGAAAAAAAAAAAGCCACAAAATCAGATACTGTTTGGTAACAATTGGTTGCCTGTGCTATTAATTCTGGTGGCTATTTAATAATAACCAGTTAAAGAACTAGTTATTTGGAACTTTGGAATCATTCATGACCCCCCTTCCTCACCTCCCATTTCCAAATAATAACTAAAATATGTCTAAACAAACACCACTCTATTTGTTCCTTCCTGATGTTACTACTTATTCAGACCCAGGCCCCTTGGCAGTCTTGACCAGACTATTCTAAAATCCCCTGAACATAGATCTCTGTCTCTAAGTCTCCTGTTTCTACTCTAGTTTCCACACTGGCTTATTATTCTAAAATACCAATGTGATCTTTCTAAAATAGAGATGGGACCATGCCACTCCCTGGTTTAGCAGCCTCGATCCATTCCCTACAGGAAATATTTTAAACAGGTTACCATGATATTAATCCTTTACAAGTGACACCAGCTAATCTGCCAACCTCATTTCGAGGGGTCATTCTATGTCCCTAACGTCTAACCACACTGGACTGACTACTTGGGTTTGAAACAGCATTAGAGGTGAGGAAGTGAAGACCATTATCGTCATTATCATCATGTTCATCAATTAAACTGACTGAAGGCCTGCCAATGCCAGGAGGTATAGAGATGCAAAGATGATAAAGGTGGTCCTCACCCTCCAGAAACTCGCAATGAAGTAGGGGAGTCAGGAAACGGCTGCTAGTAAAGTACACTTTATGTCATGAAAAACATGTCTCAGTTAAGATAACAGGAACACATGTAAGAGACTCATTCTTCTCTGGAGACTGAGAAAGTTATAGAAAGAAGATGGCATAGAAGGACAGAGTTTAAAAATGAGAAGGGAGCTGGGCAGATCAGAGAAGAGAGCTGGTGAGATAGGAGTCTCAGTAGAAGAGATACAGCACTCTATTTTCTTCTTAGTTCAGAGTTGTAAATATCTATCTCTGAACACATCAAACCTTGGTGAGGAGAACTAAAATCCTGAAACATGAAAAACTACTAAAAGAAGTGGGGAAAGAGATGACTCACTTGGGCAACTTAGCTGGGCTAGCCAAAGTGGTCCCCATGGGGCAGAAATAGGAATAACAGAAAATAGTCCAGAGAAGCAGATTTGGCTACATCAAAACAAAGCACATTCTATCAGGCAGACTATAAGGCAGGAAGAGCTGTTTTGTGTGGTTATGATTTCCCTATTGCTGAAGAGAAGGTTCAAATAGAAGCTTATAGTTATTAGGTATGTATGAATACTGTACAGGTTAAATGAGCACAGGTAGGCTTCCTTCTATGATTTTATGAATAGAAACCTAGGGTATTACACGCCAATAGTGTAACAAAATCTCCTTCAAAGCATCAAATGCTCCTGCTTTTAAAATATTTTATAATTAAACTACATCCAATATAAACTTCCTGACAATACTGTACAATCTCAAACTCACATAGGTCAAGGTACCATGAATACCATACACTTATAATAGCAGAGTTACTTTAGAATTTCATTCTGTTATGATTAGATATCTCCATATACAAAACATATTTATAAAACTAAAAGTTTCTTTGAATTTAGATACTACTGTTAATTTGGGATAGAACAGGGAGGTGGTGCTGGAAGATGAGGGTAGGCAAGGAGAGGGATGCCCTCCTTTGTTCCCAGTTAACACTGGTGTTTTAGGCATAAAAATTATGGTAATTGTGTGTTTAATGGCTAAAGTTCTATGTTTACATTTAGGAAAATATGCTTGAAGAGAACAAGAGAATCATAAAAATGTCAAGCTGACATAAATAAATGGTATGTGCTTATTTTGCATTTAAATGGAAAAGTGCCTAAACCGGGTCAGTGTTTTAGTTTATACCAGTACAGTAAGTAAAGGAGATAACTTTCCAATACTTTGAGAAATGAAATCTTATCCATCTTTATTCTCACAGTGAAAGTCACATTGTTTAGCCTTTCTTGCCACTATTTTATAACTATAAAATGAATTCATATTTATGAACTTTTCTGGACAAACTTAAAATGTTTTTATTATCAAAGATTTAAAGTTGGCCAAGGATCTGAAAGCACACAATTTAGTTAGCATCACCAAATGGATAACTAAAAATTCACACTTCTGCTACCATATGACCCCTATCAGCTTCCTTTCCTACTTTACCTCTACTAGACCACTTTTCTTAGACTTTTCTTTGATATGTCAAACACATTTTCTTAGTTTACATTGAATTTATATGAAAAATGGTTTCAGTTAACATCTTTTATACCACAATGATTCCATTTTGCCTTTTACAGTTTTAAGATACATAAAAATTAGAAAATATAGAAGATACATATGAAAAAATTATCAAAAAAACTGTGAAATTTTTAATTGACGTACAGAAGAAATATAAAGAAAAATATAATACTTCCATCTAGTTGGTTCCAATTTGATCAGGCTATAAATTATTTCAAATAGCCAAAGAATATACTGACTAGCAAGAAATCAATGTTCTCTGCCAATGTAGATGCAAATTAACGAACTGATGGAAATTAAAATACCAGCTTAAAAAAACCTGAGATCAAGATCTAGTAAATGACAAATATATTTTCTAAAATAATAAACTGATGCTTATCAATATGAGTAAATTCAACAGGTAAAGTGCTATGAATATATTTTTTAAAATGTGCTAGATAAAAAGACCTCCAAATGATAAGGGAGAAGGACACCAGTTGTTTCCTCTTCCCAAACAGCACTCATCTGAGAGATTAGTTAGCACATGCCTCTCTCACTTTATTCACATTTCTGCTCAAATATCCCCATCCCATCACTGTTTGCTTCATTTTCATCTTAGCACTCATCAGTATCTGATACTATATTACACATTTGTTTATTAGTCTCTCTGTTCCAATAAAATACAAGTTCTAAGAAGACAGGAAGTATCTCTTCTGTGCACTGATGAACTCCTAGCACTATAAAATGCCTGGCTTATAACAACTGTTTCAATAAATATTTCTTTAAGAGAATGAATGACTTCATGGCCTTATAAAAACATTAATAACAAAAGTATGCATATAATATAGAACTTCTGAAAAAAGAGGAAAAGGATTGTTTGGGGTCAGTTGAAGGAAAAAAGGAAAATTCAGACAAATTTAGGGTTAACGTAGATGCAGAGCAACATTTTGAACAACATAAATTTCTGGCTACAATGACCAACCACAGGAAAAAAGTTTTTTTCTTATTTTAAATGCTTATGATAGTTTAAACACTACAATAGGTTAGCCTTGTGCTGCTACCTATGTTTATAAGATGCATTTCATCATGTGATACAGCAGTCAAGAACCAAGATGCCCTACTACGCAGCAAACTAAAACCTAAACTTTCTCCTTGAATTTCAAGGCCATTTATAAAGTAAAACAAAATTTTTTTTTTTGGTACTACTTTATAAAGTAGTACCAAAGAAAACACTCTGTGCAACCTAATTCTTCAGCATGTACCAGGGACCCAATCACATGATCTGCCAAACTTTGGGCCAGGCCTGCTCCTACCTCAAGGTCTTTATTCAGCCTCTGTATCTTAATTTGAATACTCTTTTTTCTTTCCCACTAATCCCATGTCTGGTCTTTGATGTGCAGCATAAGTCTCACTTCCTCCTTGAGTCATTCTCCGACATTAAATTTTCACATAAACCTTTCTCTTCTTTGAACTTGTGCTAGACATATAGCCAATATCATATTCTTTCACATTTACCAGTTTTCTCTCTGAGCAGAATATAAGCAAGCTCTGTTTTACTTCCTACATGCACTTAGTATAATACTAACAACTCAGGTACTCAATATACATATAGACACACATTTACATGTATTTGATTGGAAGGCTGATTTCTATTTTAGATAACCCAAAATAATTGGTTCCACTCATTACTTACCAGATCAATAAGGCTTTCTTGTATTCTATTTAGAGTTGTTCTTAGTCTACTACTACTAAGGCCAAGTCCTGTTGATTCCAACTGAAAAAGTAAAAACAAAGGCTTCTTATATCACTGTGTAGATAATCTTGCACATGTTATATCTTCAAATCAACCAAGGTATTTGATTAGTTTTAACTCAGATACTTAGCCTTCACAGGTTTCCAAATTGTGTTTAAAAATTCCAACATTATTAAGTGAAGAAGTCAAATATTAGCTCTCAAGGGAACTAAAGAACATTTATTTACTTGTGTGCATTTACAGGTCACACTAACATCTACCAATCTTATGAATTATCAGGAGAGAGTTTACTAGAATTTCTTTCCAACAAGTTATTTGTAGTTACAAAACCTAAGATTTTAGATATTTAAAGATAGTACACTCTGTTACATTAAGGTATGCTGTGTTGTGTTTATGTAGAAGCATAACAATGTAAAGTGTTGCTAATTTATTTTTCTTACACAAATTGAGTCAACCTAAACCCTCATTCAAAAAACTCAATGAAATTTCCTATCAGTCTTAGTAAACATTTCACAGTATAGAACTCTATTCACTACAACAAAGCCAAAGCATTTACAAAAACCTTCACATAAGAGCATAAATTTCAGAAAATGAAAAATGAAATGACTAAATTTCATTTAGTGTGAGTGAAAAAGTTCTAGCATTTCCCTTTGGTTTTTTATTATTGTCACTACTAGAACTTCTATTTCTCTGCTGAGATGTTCATTCATTTAAAATGTTTCATTTTACTTCACTGAAGACAGTTATCATAGCCCATTTAAAATTCTTATCCCTTCGTTCCAGTATCTTAGAGTCAGACTTGATTGATTTGGTTCTATGTATGTTGGCTATCGTCAGATTATATCATCAATTTGATTATGGAGATTCTGGATCCTGTTAGTTTTGCCCCATAAATACCGTTTCCTTTATTCTGAGTATGCAAGTTTCTTAGCTGGGCCTGAACTATAAGCTGTCTCTTGTGCAACAGCTTTGGTCTCTGTTCAGATCACTTTTCTTTGACTGGGCTGCAGTCAGTCTGTTCCACATAATCATGGTTCACGGATTAGTCAGAGATATGAGTAGGCTGGATTTGGGGATTCCCCTCTCTAGCTCTGTCCCTTCGGAGCTTCACTCCACTCTTTTCAGGGTCTATAGTTTCCTGACACTACCTTTCTGGTTCCACAGACCATAAAGACCACAGGTTTCCCCATGCTTGCCTCCACTTGTGAGCTGTGTGGATTGCACTTAACCCTGGGATAAAAGCCAGGGGGATGACATTTATTTTTATAGCTCCCCTTTCTCCCACCTGCAAACTAGCATGAATTCCTCACTGGAGTCTATCTGCTTCCTCTATTTATTCTCCAGTACCTTCAAATAGTTGACTTTCGTATAACATGCAGATTTTATAGTAGTTTTTTGCAGGGAATGTCATTCAGTAAGGTGCTAGTGACTGTGGGAGGTAAATCATTTATTAAAAGCTTAGATATCAAATTATGACTCTTTATAAACAATTATATTAATGAAAGGTAACCTTAAGTGAAGCTTACAAATAGTTGTCAAGAACCCTCATAAGATCTTCTTGGATAACAAATAATTAGAACATTGATTCATGTGCTGTAAGCATCTAGTAGTGCTTTCTACTTTGGAAAGCTACAGAATGGTCTTTGCAAAAGAATGTGAACAGGAAAGACCAAGGAAAACATAACTCGAGAGTCGAATAATGGAAAGCTGGGGTAAGCCAAGATAAGGCAATCTTATGAGTAACATTATTAGAATTCAATGGATTAGATATAAAATAGAGCATGATGTAGTCACTTATAACCAGTTCTGTGAAGAGCAGGAGCTTCTGGAAGAATTACTATCAACAGGAGGAATCTTTTGGACTAATGCATACATTGTGTGCCACCCAATGATTTCTAGTAGCCAGAACCCCTGAGAAAAAGATGCTTATACTTCCATAAGGAGCATCCTAAATTCACCCACACAGTCCCTTTCTTCTGGAAGAGAAGCAAGTGTAACCATATACCCTGTTTTTCCATTCTACCCACTATCCAATTCCCCCTTTCCTGCTAGCATCTGAGACTCAAGTTAACAGGACAATTTGGAGTATTTATTTTTAAGCATATGGAAATTTCTAGGATTTCTAATGGACCTGAGGAGGAAATCAAAAGCTATGTCTTCAATCTTATATGCATGCATATAACTATACTTTATACCTAACTATACTTTGCTAACTTTCTCAGATTCTAGTGAACTCCACTGTACTATTTGTTTATTTACATATTTTCTTATTGCAAAAGGAACTTAAAGTAGCTATTAAGAAGAATATAACTTTGCAAGGTAAAAAAAATGTATACAAAAATTAAGCAAAGCAAAATATGTGTAGAAAAGTAAGATGAAGTGTTAATTTTTATAAATTTTTACAGAAAGTTCCTTTCAAAGAGATTCAAAGTCTTTGCTTTAAATAGTGTTTCTCTCAATTTTGCAGAATTAAATATAGTAGGGTCTAAACTATAAATTATTTTATTTGAAGATATGCATATTTTTAGTATTCACATTGCAGCTAAAAGTTAGTATTACTAAATATAATCTAATAATAGAAAAAGTCATTCTTAAAAACTGTAAGAGGAATAGGAAATGTTGTACTTACTCATATACACTCATATGCACATTTTATATTGGTTTATATAAAAAATGTTTCTAATACAATATATGGGTAGACATCTAGGTAAAGGATAGAAAACTTTATAACTGATAGCTAACTGTTTCAATATAATTTAAATAACTTTCAGTCTTACAGAAGTGACAATGCTTTAAATATAAAATATAAGACTAATGTGTTCTTTAAAACATAAGAGATCTTTAATAAAATATGCGACATATTTTACAACAAGCACCTAACTATACTTTGCTAATTCTCAGGTTCTCTACTGTAAACAAATCTGTATCATTATGTAATCAGCTGGGAAGTCATGCCCACAACCATTTAGTTACAAAAAGTTCCAGAAGAATCCTATTTTAACACATCTTAGCAATAATATACTCCAGAACTCTTCTGCCCAATATGATAGTCACTAGTCACATGTGGCTACTTATATTTAAAGATAAAGTAACTAAAATTAAATGCAATTATTGTAAGACTTCAGTTCCTGGCTGGGCATGGTGGCTCATGCCTGTAATCCTAGCACCCTGGGAGGCTGAGGCGGGTGGGAGGATTGCTCAAGGACAAGAGTTTGAAACCAGCCTGAGCAAGAGTGAGACCCTGTCTGTACTAAAAAAATAGAAAGAAATTAATTGCCAACTAAAAATATATAGAAAAAATAGCCAGGTATGGTGGCGCAGGCCTGTAGTCTCAGCTACTCGGGAGGCTGAGGCAATAGGATCACCTGAGCCCAGGAGTCTGACTGAGGTTGCTGTGAGCTAGGCTAACACCACGGCACTCTAGCCAGTGCAACAAAGTGAGACTCTGTCTCAAAAAAAAAAAAAAGAATTCAGTTCCTAAATCACATTAGTCACATTTCAAGTGCTCAAAAGCCGCATGTGGCTAGTGGCTACCACACTGGACAGTGCAAATATGCATTTCCATTATTGTGACATCTCTTGGACAGCACTGGTCTAGAAGCACAGTATGAAAGACAATGTAAGGATCATCTAGAAGACTGAAAGATTTTAACAATTAACTAAAACTCTACAATGTCTTCATTCATATTTATTTAGTGAATTTCCAAATTCAGAATGATAAATTAGAACATATTTTATATCAACATAAATTCTGTAGCAACATACTGATTATATTAGAATTTGTTCAAGGAATATTTTTCAGAATTAAGGACAGAGGAAATTCAGGTCCTATATTAAAAGATCATGTCTTTGACATACTTATGATCACAGCAAGGATATGAATAGTTATACGATAAATATAGTTATACTTTAAATTTATGTTTTTAAAAAGGTATGAAATATACTATAAGAAAAGTTAGTACTGTGATATTTTCATAGGACCCAGCAGTATGCTTTACACAGAAAACTGTCAAACATCTAGGCAAACCACATTATAATTCTCAAATATCAGACTAAAGTTCCCTGCCTAATATGTTATTCTCTATTAAGAGTAGAAAAAGATAAATTCAATAAGAGCTTTTGAAACACAAGAAGGAGGTGTAGTACACATTTATTTGGTGGCACGCAGATGGTTCAGTTAAAAGATTTTCAATTTCTTTAATAAATATTTGTCATTATCTTCTGAATGTATTAGTGACTGCTAAGGTTATTAGCCAGTATTTAAAATGTCTCATTTGCTGTGTAGTAATTATATGTGGGGCCATATTTAAATAAAGCAACTTGCACATTTTTCATTGCCAAAGTATGTCAAGGTTAGAAACAGATGTTGCACTTTTTCTGCCAAAAATCTGAATAATATGTAATATGTTTATTATATCAAAACTTAAAATATAAATAAGGCAATTAGGCAAAAAGCTGATACCAATAATTTTGCATTGATGGATAATTCTTAAAATAAAGTGTAATTTATACAGAGAGAATAAAAAGCTTTACTTGACATTTAAAATATACATAAATTTTAAAAGAAACAGATTTTTCCTCCAAAGGTTGACTTACTGAATCATTCCGACCAAAAAAGGTATATATTGCATACAAGTAGTAATCAAATAGCTGAGACATGAAATGGATAACATCAAAGGCAATTGGCTTAAGAATGTTCATCATCTGCATATATTTCCCTGAAAAGAAAAAAAAATAAAAATTAAGTAGAACAGAATTAAAATCTGTTACTCTACAATTATAAAAATAAAATTAAAATACTATATTAAAATGTTTAAATAAAATGAAATATTGCATTCCTCAGTCACACTAAAAGTCACACAGCACAGATTCTAAACAGTTCTATCACATGTGAAAGTTCTATTGGACAGCACTGATTTAAATGATACCTCCAATGATATTTTCCTCTTATATATTTTACTATTTGTCAAATTTTTATGGAACTGCTACACTCTTCTACAAATGACACTGTACAAACACAACATAGTTCCTCTTTTCTAGAAAATTCCATTTAAAATAATTTCTTCAAAAATGTTTACGTTTAATAAAGTAAAATACAACATATTTGAGAAAAATAATTTTTTATAAGCTTATACACACATAGAAAAAGCAAGAGGAAAAAAGGACACATAGAAGGTACTATTCATTCCCCCGTGAAATCTTGTGTCAGAGGCCAAGAACATTTCTTTACCACTACACATCATTCAAGAGCTCAATACCTTCAAAGGGCAAAGAACATATCCTTATTATTCCTTCCTTTGGGAGATGCCAATATTCTATTCTCTTTTCTCTAAACATATAATCAGATAAAGTCACGGAAAAAAATGTAAAAGCCAAAATTTTTTCATTTACAAACTTGCTAATGTATTTGAAGGGTTTGTGAGAGGGGGACTGAATCAGATGACAGATAACTACAAGTCCTGAATTCCATTTTTTTAAATGGGAAATAATAGGGAAAGAAGCATATTTATTAAAAATGCTCTATACCTTATTCTGCAGAAGAAAGATGTTAAAATAGGCCATTTGCTTAATTTCCAAATGAGCAAGTAATTCAAGTGCTGGGTCTACTTCATGTAACTGCTAGAAATTTTAAACTGGTACTATTAAAGACACCACGACTCAAGAGAAAACACATTAATTGCATACAAGAAATGACAAACTTACTCTAATGGAAATGGTTACTATCAAAACCATTTCTTTATGTAAGGATTCAGTAAATCTGTCTTAATTTAGTGAGAGATGATTTTAAATAAAAACCAGATGGTCAGGAAGAGAAATAACAAAGTAAAAAAAACCATTCAGTTCAGATTCTATTCTTATTCCTATTTACAAGTCTTTTGTTTCAGAATCATCTTTCACAATTACTTCATACATTCAAACTTTTTTCTGAAAATCATATTTGAAAAATATTTAAAATATATGCTTCTAAAAATTCTGGATCATCATGCAGGTACTTTGTTACAAAACATAGCATTATTTAAGCTATAACTGTTAACACATAAAATAACGTGCCACTGTGAAGAAAAAAATGGAAAAATAGTGTATTACATCAATTAGTAAAAGAAAAAAGATGATTAAGCAGAATGAGGCAGAATGTAAAATAAGTGGAGTGATATGCATCTAGAATACAAAGTCCTCTCCATTTCTAATAAGATTAACCATTTTTTCATATACTTAATCTTGACAACGTATATAAAAATAAATTATTAATAGGTAAAGTCTATTTTAGATATATAGTCAGAAGGAAAAAAAATTCCTCACCACTCTGAAAAAAAAATTTTAAACATAAAGATACCCATTCATTTGTTCATCCAATAAATACTTTTTGAAGGCTTACTATGTTCTTAGCCTTGTGTTAAAGCACAAGAAATTGCACAGAGTCCCTGCTCCTGCATCTTAAAAGGTCATACATGGAAGACAGCAATCAAAAAGCAGGTTGTCAGAATATTACAGTACATATGAGACAGGACTCTGTCTTTCCAGTTCAAGAGGGCAAAACAGGCAGAGAGTAGGTCTCTGGAGGCCTGAAGATGCTATGTACCTCCTCAGCCTCTAGTGAATTAAAATAGGATTGTACAATGAATTAAGACCCTATCTATGAAGAAAAGAGGGTAAAAAGGCAATAGCAGGTGGGTTTGAACAAAAGAAAATGAAAAATCTCAAAAATTTTCTAGACCAAGCATTGGCAAACCTTTCCTTGTAAAGGACCAAATAGTAGATAGTTTAGGCTTTGCATATCATACAATGTCACAACTATTCAGCTCTGCTGGTCTCTGTTTCCACTGCTCAACTATGCCACTGTAGCACAAAAGCAGCCACGGATAATGCGTAAATAAATGAGCATGACTATTCCAATAAAACTTGATTTACAAAAACAGGAAGCTAGACTGATTTGGCCTGCAGGCTATAGTTTGCCAACTCTTGGTCTAGAAATGTTTTGACATTTCTCATCTCAAAACAAATGACATCTCAAAACATCTGTTCTAGATGACAGACAGTGGATGGGAATAGGTTGATGGAAAAACATAAGGAAGCCAATAAACCCTAGGAGGGCCACAAAGAGGATGGAAGCTATTCAGTAGGGCAGTAATTGCTGAGACTCAAGCTGCTACAGCCAAAGTGAGAAATGCAGCTCAAAAAAGATGAAAATGGAGGTCCACACATGGGACAAACTGTATCAGTCTACATGCCTCCTTACCACTATTCCTCTCTCCAGCAGTTAGAGGTACAGGCTGCCAAAATTTACAACTCCTCCCCTCCACATAAACAAAAAAAAAAAATAAATAAAAATAAAACCAGCATAATTCCTCTCTAAAAGTATATAAACAAAGTGAAAAGAAAATTGAGCAAAAAAACTTTAAAAAGTAATAAATTAAGAAAGCTAAGGCTTGTACCTTATTCTGAAATTTTGGGGATCCATCTCCATAAGGTAAAAGCTACCAGTAAATCCACCCAACCCTGTCCTATTCCACGTAGTAATAAGAATTCCTACTGATGAGAAAGAACCAGCTCAAACACAGTTCTAATTACTCAGAAGCAACTCAGAATAGCTATGTAGGCCTTTTATTTTAAATATGAATAGATAATAAAAAATCACCAGACATATGAGGAAAACTTAGAGTGTGAAAGTAAAAAGCTGATCCTAGAGGATATAGAATAATTTGGGCTAAAAAAGAAAAATGTAATATTATGTAAAATCCTATAACAGGAGAGTGTGGACAAAAACCAGAATTGAAAGTGCTCTTAAATGTAAAAATATGATTTTTAAAAATATAAAATTAAATTTAAAAAATGGGAAAAATGAAGTCTCCCAAAAGGTACAAGCAAAAAGATAAAAATATGGAAAACATTAGAGGAAAATATGAGACATAAAGGACCAACTTAAGAGACTAAACACTTGAATAAGGGAAAAATCAAAAGAAAAAAAAAGAATAGAGAAAATACAAAGCTGGAAATTATCAAAGAAATACTAGTATCAGTCATAGCTGAGAAACATAAGACCCTTCAGATTGAAAGAGTTCACAAAGTATCAAATACACTTAATGAAAAATCATACCTATATACATCAACATAGAATTATGGAACATAAAGGAAAAAAATACTAAAAGGTTTCAGTGAGAGAGAGACAGACAGACAGACACACACACAAAACACAGAAAGAAAGAGAGAAATTCACCTGCAAGAGAAATGAACGCTAAAAGTTTCAAAGTTCCAAAGAAAATAATGTTTAATCTACACCTCTATTCACCGCTAAATTGTCATTCAAGTAAAAGAGCAGAATAAAGACATTTTCATACTGACATGAATTCAAAACATTTACTTCTCATCACCCTTTCTCAGGAAATAACTGGAATAGAAACAGACCAAGAAATTGCCTCCACACTGCTGGAAGTGCTTTTCATCACAAGCTCTTCCTTAATATTTAATGTGTTACTGTGAGAAGTACTACCTTGATAAAAACATAAACGCAAGGCTCTGAAGTTAGCCTGCCTAGTTTTAAAAATGTGATCAGTGGTTCAAGATGTGGTTCAGAGGATGCTCTATCTCTTCCACCTCCCAGAGTTCCCCACGGAGAAGGCACAGTGAGAGCATGCTTTGGGAACACTGAAGGTTATCTAATACAGCACAGATGACCAGGAAAGTCATCTCTTCCAAACTTATCAACTGCAAGAGCTTCCTATTACTACCTCCAAGCTACAGTATATCCTTTCTGATCTGTGAATAACTAAATTTGTTAGGAATGAGAGTTAATGTTCTTGATTTCCTCCAATGGCTGTGAAGCATGAAAGTTAAGAGCTTACTGGCTCTGGGATAAGACAGCCTGGGTTCATCTATGTAACAGATGTGTGATACAAGGCAAGTTATTTATCTCTCTGAGCTTCAGTTATTTGATATGTAAAACGGATATTGTGAAGAATTCATGAAAAAATGCATATGAAACATTTACACAGCATATGATAGGTGCTTACGCAGCACATATACACAACTAAGAAATCTTACCTGTTACTGTTACTTTAAGGTAATTATAACTATGACGAATACAGTGGGAGAAGTATTAGGATGTTACATCTAACCTGATGAGATGAGAGAAAGCTTCACAGGAGAAGCACTGTTTAAATTCTCTCATCCCAAATGTAGACCAGGGGGGAAGAAACACAAAGAGGGATTGGGGGGAAAAAAAAACCAAAACAACCAAGTAGCAGCATGGACAAGAACTAGAAACAAGAGAACAAACAGTGGGCCTGCCTTAGCCAACTCCTCTGTGGGAGCAGTATGGTTGCCACATGAAAGCTGGCCCAGGAGAATAGAGGGTTTCATCAATCAGATATCCACACCTCCTGGGTAGAGGAAGGGATACAGAAATGCTGGAAATATGGAAGGAAGTTTCTCTCACTGTGGATTATGACAAGAGAAGAAAAAGGGTTTCTCCAATATTCAAGATTTTAAAAATTAAGGTTTGTCAGTCCAACATATACTAGACAACTACAAAAGCAAAATGCACTTGGCAGGGTGCTATATAAAGCTGCTACAAAAATGACTCGGACTCTATTCTCATCTGTAGGAATTTACAATCTGATGGGACAAGAGCAAGAACAGAATCTAAGTTGGAAGAATGTTCATTATTCTTATTACAATACACTAATTCAAGAAATCATCAATGGAGATAAATAGAATATAA